AATTTAAACTCCCCTAAATAGGAGTTAAATTAGGAAAATATAAAATCAGACCACACCCCCGAATTCTCAATCTGACATTATGCTCAACGACAACTCTCTTCTTCACTGCCGTATCATTGAAGTCGAAGAAATTGAGCTATAATGACAATGGAAGAAGAGGAGCACAAGAAGAAGGGCCGGCGATAAGGATAGATCTGGGAACCACTTACTCTTGTGTCGCCAACCAATCACACCATCGCTGCTGCCGCCGCCAAATAACAGCACCGTCAACGCCGCCGCCATGCACCCCTACCCATCTTAGACTTTTCGTCGCTTGCTCAACGCCGATCTCCCTTTTGCTGCCAACCCCTTCTTCAATAGATTAGAATCGCTGCTGCCACCGCCCACCGTGACCTTATTGCAATGCCATCGCTGCCGCCATGCACCCCACCCTCTCAGATTCATCGCCGCACTCGTGTCACGCTGCCATCCTCCATCTCTCTTCCTCAAAGCATGATTTTAAATGTAAGTTTTTTTTCTCTCTTGATCTTTAATTAATTGAATTCTGTTTCCTTCGAAATTCTCGTTCTCATTTGTGGAGGGCATTGATTTGGCATTATGTCATTGTGTAACATTGTGACATTATATATGAGCATACGTGGCATTATATATGGGCATCTATGATATTATGTATTGTCATATATGACATTATGTGGTGCCATGTTTGACATTATGTCTTTCTTTGATATTGTATTGACTGTTAATGTGGCACTGTAGCAATGATGGTGCAGATTGTGATGATAATGTCGTTGATAATGGTATACAACGGTGATGTCGTCAGTAGTGACAATGAAAAATCAAAGGCGTTAATGGTAAGTTTCGATAGCAGCGGTGCTGTCGGGCGGAGCAGAGGACGGTGGTGGTGGAGATTCAAGTGATAGTGGCAGGGATGCAGCGACGACGATAGCGGTAGTGGGCATCACCGTCGACGACGATTGCGGTAGTGGGCGTCGCCGTCGGCAGCACGTTGTTGTGAAGTTGGCCGAACTTTTTTTTTAGTTTTTGGACTTGGCCACCGCCGGCGGATCTATTACTAAACTAATGGGGTAAAAGTGGTGATCTATTTGAATTTGTTGATATAATTCATGTAAGAGATATTATTGGATTTATTGAACTTTCACAAATGATTCAAACACTCTTAACATATTAATTTAGTATACTCTATTGATATTAGTGTCTCCTGTATTAAAACAGAGAGAACTTTTACTAACATGTCTTTCACATAAACATCTCCATGTGCAAGTCTTACATCTATTTAAAAATTAATCAAGTATACCTGCACCACCAAGTCCAGACTTAGACTGAAGAATTGCTTGCCCATATATAGAGGTGGGATCCATTGTTTTATTAATTAATTTAATTACTCCTATTTAGAGGAGTTTAAGTTTGAGCTCCTATTTTGAGGATATGACCTATGTTTTACTACTAGTTTGGTCCTTCTCCCTATGTTTTACATCAGTGCCCAACATTTGGAGCATAAAAGTAAACGAAATTCAATTCTCGGAGCAACGATGTGATTATATGAAAATTTCGGGAGCATTAGTGTCATTTTAAAAATCTAGGAATATTTATGTGAACCCGTGCAATTCTAGGAGTATTGGTATAAATTTTTTCTAAAAGATATTTTAATTTAAAATTCACAAAAAGCAAGTTTACGACTCGAACATTTTCGTTTTATAAATAACACCTTTAAATTAATACTTTGATAGCTTACATTTACACAAAATATTAATACAATCACAAAATAACTAATCTAAACTATCAAAATGCTAGTACAAAGTTATTGTGTACAAATTGTATATAATAATACTAGCTGGGAACGCACTATGTGCGTGGGTGCCCAAGCATGCGTCCATTTGATAAGAGTAAAAGCATAGTTCCAATTCTTACATATATCCTAAGATACCAGCAACTAAGATGGAGAAGTTCAACAACATGATAAGAGTCATAATCTAAATTAAATTTAAGCTACTGGCTTTTAAATTACTGAAGTAGGAAGCACATCTTCTAAGTAGTATGCATTAGGTAGCACGAATGAATTTCAATTACATGTACCAGACGAAAGAAATTGATATACCCCATTGCACATCTGATTTTCACAACAAAATAAATCTGAACTTGAATATCTCAATGAAAACAGAAAAAAGAACTCCTTTTGGCACAATGAAGATACACATTATATGGACAACTTCACATAAACTCACCAGGAGCAAACAAAAAACATACTCATCCACAATGTGATCTGATTTGTGGACTACCCATTCAATCAGCATTGTGATGTGATTTCAGCCATGTACCAACAGTGATGCATGTTAACCCTTTTAAAAATTTCAGGACCATTCTTTCAAATTTCACATCTATAGTCAATTTTATTGACATATAGAGACAAAAGAACAAATCATACACGAGCCATATCGTTGGGGTTTATTCCGACACCAAATTTATAACATTAGATAGATCCTTTGAAATGCTTGATGTTGCAGGAAAACTGGTACAACTATGTTCAACAGTTAAGAAACCACTGTCATCCTTCCCAACTTGCTGCTTGGCCTACGCTATGTTATGTGGAGATATACATCCATTCCGTACCAATCTCCTTTTCCCAGTGACCTTGGGAAAGGTGACAATAGAAGTTTGTAACCAGAATAATTGTAGATGATAAAAGTAGAAACCTTTTTGCATGCAGTTGTTGCAGTATTGTCTCCGCACTGCATGTAGTCAAAGGTAGTTCCCTCATTGAAGTCAACTTTGCGATTACAAGTACTACATCCGATGTAGTAAGGAATTGGTCCATGTTCTCTAAGCTGTAGTTGGCCTTTTATCCAGTATATTTGGTATTGGATAAATAAAAACATGAAAGTACTATTAACAGCGGAGCGGGGTTGTGTAAACCAAATGATAGCAATAAAAATTTATACCAGAAGAAAAGAAAATCAAGCATCAATGAATACAATGTAAAGAGCACTTTTTTTGTTTTTTGGGTAGAACCGTATTGGTGTTAAAGCAGGCAAAGCAAACACCTTCCACAAGAATGAGTATGTTATTGAAGGTATTAGGAAGTTGTTGATAGCCTTTATGATGGATAGAAGCACTGATGTTTATGTACTTTTAAAACCTGCAGTATCATTTTCATTGCAATTTGAGAAAGTTTTAGGTTTTCAATGACACACAGGTTTCTCAATCATATCTGACATTCCAGGAACAGGTGTTTAACATCCAGCAACAGTGTGGAACATGTTATTAATATTATTTGGTTTTGGCTAACAGAATTGAAAAGGTAACCATCAGGTAATCAACTACTCTAGCTATCCTCGTATTACACAAGGTAATCAAGTACTCTAGCTAATATGAATAAATGGAAAGTGTCCATATACTGATACTTGGTTTAGAGATACTAAAAGCCAAAAAGGATTTGAGAAACATTCTTTCTTATATGCTGCGTTCTTGGCTCCTTCATTTTCTTCTAGCAAGTTCTACTGTGTAGCATCTTAAAAAACCTCTTTACATGTTTTTACTTTGGAATCTTCAAGGATACTCATTAGCCAAAACAGAAAAATGCACGCATGCTTGGGCACCCAATCACAAGGGATCAGAAACTTAATTCACGCACATCGTGAATTTGAAAATCAGCCCGTAAAGTACCTAATTTAGGTACGACCAACGGGAGTCGCTCGAAGAGGGGAGAGGGACTTCGTACCTGGGAACCGATAAAAGTCCCTGCTTGACTTAGATGTGTTAAACATATCGCTAATGGAAGAATGTTGAAAATTCTCTTAGGAGGGTGAAATTGGAGTTTCGATTTCTAGTAGTTAGCTAGCGAAGCGCAATCGCAGTTTCAAGCGAGCGAAGCGAAACCAAAAAGCCTCTTTCGAAAGCCGTCTTTCCCAAAAATAGGGAGGCAAGGGTACGCACCTAGTAGCTGCGAGCCTAAGATCAAAGGCAGTTCCAAAAGCAAGTTCTTCTTGAAAATCAACATCAACATTATATTATATAGGAAAACCAGCCACTAATATTTCTCTTTTTTGTTGGAAATCAATAAAAACTGAGATTGCTTTAAAAAATCAGTCCCTACAGCCTTTGTTTTATATTAAATCATTTTAATACACAGCTGAATCGTTCCCAACGCACCATATGGCAGATTATCATTTGAGGTATGCATTTTTTAAATCTGACAAAACCTTCTAAGTTTATCATTTAGATACCTTAGTGCTGGCAGTTACATGATAGTGAGTTACACTGGTCTTTGTGCTTACTTACAGGAATTCCCACTATTGGACATGGCCTCTCTGAGTACTGTTCTTGCTCAAGGCATGAACCGTAAGAAAAGGCACGAAGTAAGACATGGAATATTCTTATTATCATTCATATTTAAACTTCCTTTATTTACTCTTTTCTCCTGGAGATATGCTATGCCTGGATGACATTGGAAATGTCTCACTATTGTTGTTTGCATGTTACAATGTGTTTTAACTTTTAAGTGATGGCAAATTGTGGCACAAATTACTGGTTATATCCAAGTTTCATTGGACATCCATCTCAAGGGGGTAGCTGGCCAAAGAATATGTCTACAATCACATGTTTGATATGTGCATCATTTTTAAAGCATAAATTTGGAGTATTAATTTCTTTAACAACAGCAACCCAGTTGATGTATTGCAATATGTAAAACTTTTGACTTACAATAGGACAATCAGTCATTGAACACATATGAAAAAGGATATTTTTTTGTTATTTTTAGAAAGGAAACACACATAGAGCTTGACTTCTCTAATTACCTTAAAAACAAAGTGCTCACCTATATGTACTACACAGACTATATGCTTTCACTACTTGTGTATGAATTCACTGTAACACCCCAACCCGCATAACCCAAATAAGTAGATTAGCGAACCGGGTTGCTACGAAATTGGTATTAACATACAATACTTCTCAATAAATAAAAACATTTAATTTAAAATTAAATCAACTCAAACCATTTAATTTACATATCAGGGTTTATACAAATGGTGCGGAAGCTTTATAATTAAATCGAACATTATTAAGTCACTGCATCCGTACATCTCCTCCGTCACGCTTCCCTCCGGGATATGTTCCAAGGTCAGTCCCTCCATGATTACCTACGTGTAACAAGGGGAAAAAGAGGCTACACGCTCAACAACGAAGCTGAGTGAGAAATATCTAACAGTTCGAACATACACATATGCGAACCCACTAATTCATAATCATAACATGATATCATGCACATAGGTTTAATATCACGCAGTTCACCTAAACAATTCATCATATAATTTACCTGGCACCTGCCCTTTTCGTTCTCATCGAAACGAAGCGTCTCTTGCAGTGGTGGATCACCATTCATCTGTACTTAAATTCTACACATAGACTAATGACTTACTACTTTTCTTGGGAGTCATGATTGTTCCCACTGGATCAGCGGATCACGCTCAACAACCGAGGGAGTTCTCACGGTTGGTGGATCACCAAGCCCTGTTCCTATAACCTATACTAGTCTAAGGACTATAACTTTACTGTATGGGAGGCATGATGGTTCCCACTGGATCAGCGGGTCATGCTCAACCAACGAAGGAGTTCTCCGTTGGGTGGGTGGAATCCCCACCTGATGGATCACCAGGCAGTTCAAGTATACCCGTACGTACGTTTTTACCCGGTTCGACTTAACCATTGGAGCCCAGCAGGCATCCACCTGGTTTTTATACTCTTAACTTCCTATATTTATGTCAGTCCCAAAGATTCCCTTTGGGTAGACTTACCTTACCAACGCGTTGGATCAACACGCGGTACCTGTTTGCTGTGTGCTGGATCAGCCCACTCATTCTTGCAATATCGTATCCAAACATATGTATTTCATATAATCACACACGTGCTAGGTCACTATAATAATTTTAGTTCATATAAGTGTTGGATCAACACGTAACAATCACAATTATAACACATAGCGGCCTAGCATTGGGTATTGATACCCAAACTTACCGTCATACAACATATAAGGTCTCAGAATCAATCCTTGACAAAACACGTATCAACAGAGCGTTAGGTACCAGACGGTACCTATCATGGTACGGGGTACCGTCCATACGGTACCTGGGTACCGGTCCTACGGTACCCGGGGTACCGTCCGAACCACTTGGGTTCTTCCGGTAGGACTGTCACGGTAGCCGACTACCGACCCGGCGGTAGGGCCTACCGTCCGTCCGGTACCTAGGTACCGAACGGTTACAGCTACCGATAGGAGAGAACAGACAGACAAGGTGTGACGGTAGCTAGGTACCATCCTGGCGGCCCACCACCAATTCCATATTCATACCTGTTTCGTTTTTCCAATGTCAAACAAACAGCAATTTCATACTCAACAACTCCAGTAAATTCATCATAACGTTCCAAACATTATCAAACGTGTCGATCAAGGCCTAAATCATGCATACTACCCTTTCCGATTCAACGACAACAACTCCCAAAACCATAATCAACAATTTCATAGACAAATCACATAGATCAACCATGATAATAATTATGAACGGAATTTCAAACATATATGCACATTCTAGTGTTAGATGTCCACGTACTCACCTCGATTCGTCGATTAGAATTCATTGTCAGAACAGATTCATCCCGTTGCCCGAACCGATACGACTGCTCAAACTACCACCGCTGCCCGGAATGGCTGGAGCACGAAGGGAAGTCGCCGGAGTTGCTGGTTTGCCGGAACAGAGGCAGCCACTAGAGAACCGGGTCGGGTCTGCCCATTGCCGAGTCCTTGAGCTGCTGGGTCGCGGGATGTGGTCGCCGGGGGTTCTGGTTCGTCGCCCCACCATCGTGCTGCTGCTCGCCGGAGAAGAAGGAGAAGATGGGGTTGTGGCGATGGCATGCTTCGATCGAAGAAGGAGAAGGGCTGGGAAGCGGCGATGGAATTAAGAGATGCGTGAAATAAGCCTAGGGTTTTGTACCCAGTAATTTAAAATAACTTGTCTGAGTAAAACACACTTTTCGGGCCAACTTGCTCCGAATTGAGATCCGTTCGCGTCGTTGGATTCGATTCATCAATCGCTATCCAACTATATAACTTTTATAATCATTCAACAAGTATTTACCGGTTCCTCTTGGTTCATATTGATTCTTTTGTTTAATTAGTATCAATCAGTCTTTCACTTTAAATCTTTACAAATATAATCAGATTAATTTCATTATATTGAGACGATTAAGTCTCTAAAATATTTTTTTTATTCTTTAAAAGAATCAATTATCATAAATAAATAATTCTTATTTATTTAATTAGAGAATAACTTCTGGGCCGGTTTTCAGGGCGTTACATTCACAAATCACTAAGTCTGAACTAATTTTATTTAAAAGAAATCAAAGTCAGCCCTTATTGTTTCAAAAGCAGCCCCAAAAGTATGACTACTCACATTGAAATAAGCTTCGCAATGATATTCTATTTCAAAATCAGCTTCTAAAATTTCTCTTCTTTCTTGAAAATCAACTACAAATTTAGTTTCTTTTCCAAACGAGGGTGATTCACATGTATTCCAAAAAGTAACTTCAAATTCATATTCTGTTTCAAAACCAACTTCATATCAGGGCCGGTCCCGAGGATTTATCAACCTGGGCCGAAACAAAATAAAAGGCCCTAAAAATCTTTTATTTAATGATCTAAAAAATTCACATATGTAAACTAATTAAATCTAAATAATAATTAACGTATATGTAAACTAATAATTATATCTATTTGTAGATGCTCTTGCTCTTCCATCTCTTTTACTTCTTCTACTTCTTTGTCTTCAACAACAGGTTTCATAAACTTATATAGAGCTCCGGCTTGAGATTTTCTCATTTCTTCATCTCGTTTTCTCTTTTCTCTTTTTTGACTACCGGATAATTGTTTAGGAGCCATAGCTATTGAATTATTTCTGAAATAAAATCCAAAATCATAAATTCTACTAAGTAAAATCAAGAATAAAAAACTGAAAAAAAACAAGCAAACAAATAAATAAATAAATATATTATAAATTAATATCAATTCGTCAATTTGTCCTTTTTAAATTGTTTTTTTATATTTCAGTTTAATTTTTTATAAATCATAAATTCATATCAATTCAACAATTTTTCAGTTTTTAATTTTTTTTCAGTTTTCAGTTTTTTTAATATAAATATATAATTATCATAAATAATAAATTCAAAACAATTCATCCAAATCAAATAAATAACATATAGATTATAGAACCATTCATTCATTCTATCTATAAGAATGAAATTAGAAAAGATTTCAAATTTAAACCTAATAACTAACCCTAGATTTTAAATCTAAATAATGAAATAATGAAACAAAATTAAGATTTAAGAAATAAAAATTACAAAATTGGAAAGGAAGGCTATGAATAATTACCTGGAGGCGTGCAGATCGGCGAATCGGCGTCCGGCGGTGGAGGCGCCGACTCAATCGGCGGTGGCACGTCGTCTCTGGTTCGTCACTTCGTGAATACGATCGGGTGGAATGAAGCAGTTTGTTCCGTAGTTCTGTTCCGTTCTCTTTTTTGGTCTAAGACTATTGGGCTGGGCTTATACATACATACATACATATATATATATATATATATATATATATATATATATATATATATATATATATATATATAACTAAAAAAATTTTTTATGCCCCCAAAATCTTTAGGCCCGGCCCGACCGGCCACCTTGTCCCCTATATGGGCCGGCCCTGCTTCATATATATACTCTATTTCAATTTCATATTCATGAAATTCTTACAGGTGCTTAAGAGAAACCCTAGGATTCAATTCCTCTGTTTAAATTTCAATTTCATATTCACTAATTTGCAGTGCGTTCCACTTTTCAAAGCAAGATTAACATGCAGTATCAATTTGTATGTCAAAAATTACTCTTTAAAAAATCTAATTCAAAAAATGCAAATTTGGTTATCTGAATTTGAAGTGCATAAAAACCAGAGATTGCAGCAAAGAAAAATTATACCCTCTAGGTAAACAATAAAGGGAGTGAGCACATGATTAAGGATAACAAAATTAGGTTTTTGAAGAAGGAAAAGCTGGGAAAACAAGGAGAATTAGAGGAAGGGTTGATGAGACCCATTATCAAGATTAGAGAGAAGATTTACCTGGATGGAGTGAAGGAGAACAAGCCTTGGAGAAGCAGGAGGGTACGGGTTATTTATTAATAGATGGGTGGCCGGTGGAAGAGATTGTGGGGCGGTGGCGGTGGTGGGAAGTACGAGAACGAACGGCGGTGGCGGTGAAGGAAGTACGAGAAGAGTGTGGGGAAGGAGAGAAAAGCAAGGAAAAAAGGCGGTGACGTGTGGGGAAGGAGAGAAAAGCAAGGAAGTGGTGACGTGGGTAAGGGACGGAAAAAGAGACTAGAAATGAACTAAATTATCGGAGGTAAACGTAGTTGGCTCTTATAATATAAGGGAGGATATACCAAGTGGTATACACGATGCATGGTCTTTTCCAAATTAACAAAAAAAATGCCGTGCAAAAAAAATACAAATATGAAGTATAAAAGTGTTCATATATTAAAAATAGACCTTAATAAAAAAGAGTTCATATACAATCAAATTACTTGAAAAGAATTAAATGAAATATTTCTAGAAAGAACTCAAAAACTTTTAAATTTTATTATAAGGACTGGGTAGAAACATTTCATCCAATACTTTATCTATAGGCGCTAATGAATACGAAGTACTCTGTATATTTCTTCTATTTTGTCAATAATATTTCATGGTTATATTTATAATGTCTTTCTTTTTGTTTCTCTTTTTTCTTTCTTTTCTTTTAGAACATTTTTAAAAAATTTCATCTTGAAGAATGTATGAAATTTTTTTATACATTAAAAAATAAATGAAATAAGAAAAACTCCTGAAAAAAGAAAATACAAAGCAAAATAAATGAAAAAAAATAGAAAAATAAAGCAAATTTTTTCCCCTAGGGTTTTTTAATACTTTGTACGGAGTATTTAAAATGAAAAGGGTAAGTCACTTTCTTTTTGAAAAGGTACTTATTTTATTTATTTTTTACAAAGAAATCATATAAATAATTTGCACGAAAGCCTAAAACATAATTAATAGATCAAAATTATTTATATAAAAAAAATTTTATCTGTCCAATCGGTTCAAAGTATTTTGGTATGTTCCAATCCGAATCCGAATAGATTTAAGTCCGGTCATGACTCATTACTCCATGATTTTGTTTAGTTCGGTCTTCACTCCAGTCTGGTTCAATCAAGTTCAACTCGGTCTTAGGCCATTGAAGAGCCCTACTCAGAGAGGAAAAGATGGACTTAATTCAAAAAAGTTGATTAGACACAGCTTACCACTTCTAGCACGTATTGCAAATATGAACTTAGATAGCACACGTGGAGATCTCAGATTAGTTTCATTAGTCATTTCGACCGGAAAGTGATCGGGAATAGTGGCTGCATTCAAGGCCCGATAGTCGATGCAAAACCGAAAGGTGCCATCTTTCTTCCGTACCAAAAGCACCAGTGAAGAAAAAGGGCTGTGACTCGGCCGTATTGTCCCTTGCGTAAGCATCTCCTGAATCTGTTTCTCGATTTCCGCCTTTTGAAAGTAGGGGTACCGATACGGTCGTACATTGATGGGTTTCGCCCCCGGGGATAAGTGTATGTGATGGTCCCATACCCGGGCTGGTGGCAGACCCGAAGGGAGGCCGAAGAGCCTGTCATGGGCCTCGAGGAGTGTGCGGACAGCCGGGGGGCAAGTCTGCCGGCAGTGCTACGCCAGTTTCCGGCGTCGGTGCATCAGAGGGCGCTGGAGTGAGTTCATACAAATCACAGGACAGTGCATCCCGTGCCAAAGAGCATAGCCGACCATATGAGATAGGGCGAGGTTCGGCCGTGTCATCGCGCAGCGTGATTGTCTCCCCTTTCCAAATAAATTCCATCGTCATTGTGGCGTAATCGTGGGAGACCTTCCCTAAGATTTGAAGCAACTGCACACCCAACACAATATCCAGCCCATGAATCTCCAATAAATATAAATCCACATCAAATAGATGTCCTTGTAACCAAAGAGGAGTCCCGGGACAAGAGTATGAACAGCGCAAGGAATCACCATTGCCCACATAAACACGAAAGGGAGTAACCGGATGATGAACCAAAGCCAAACGTTCTGCGACGCTCGGGTGCATAAAATTATGAGTGCTGCCGCTATCTAACAATACCTGGACCACCGCCGAATTGACCGAGCCCGCAACATCGAGGGACCGGGGGCTAGGGCTGCCGGCCAATAAGTGCATAGTAGAAATATCACCGAGAATTACCAGAGCATCGTCGTCCAGTTCAACCGCAGGGGGGGTTCTGGTTCTGACTCATCCTCATCTGGCCCCATTAGGAGAAGAAAGCGGCGCCTGCAATTATGGGTCGGGGTATACTTTTCGTCACAGTACCAGCATAACCCTTTCTTGTTACGTTCGGCCTTGACCGCATCGGTCAGACGAACGATGGGTAAACCCGGAGGAGTGGGAGCTTTCGCCTTAGGCTGCACTGGCCGTGGAGTAGGAAGAAGACCGGGACTGGACGTTGGCGTAGGACCTGGAGATGGGGAATTCCATGCACGGCGTGTCCCATGGGTATAGGCCAAAACTGCCTCAGAATGGCAAGCTGAGAGTTCCCGAGCGAGGGCGAAGGCAGCGGTTAGGGAGGTGGGACTGCGGAGGTTAACCTCCCGTTGGCCGTTGCAACGGCTGTTTCAAACCTGCCACAAACATGGAAATTAAGGTGGAGTCTGGGACCCCCGACACCTTGTTGAGAAGGGCCTCGAAGGCGGTCTGGTATTCCATTACCATCGTGGTTTGGGTGAGTTTGGACAGCATCCTAATAATGCAAATCAAAAAGTTGCTGAATGGCCAACAGAAAATCGTCTCACGTAGCTGTACAATTATTGGCCTGATAATAGTGAAACCATTCGGACGCCAGATGATCGATGAGCATGGGCACGAGTTGAAGTCTCTCAGGTTTCGGTGTGCAGAAGTAATCGAAATACTTTTGAATGCGAAAGACCCAACCTATGGGATCATCTCCGGTAAACCGCGGCGCGTCCACTCACATACGAGGTACTGCCTCTGGTGTTGATGTAGAGGTGCGGGACGGCGGCGGTCTCCAACTTGTGACCGGCTGTCTGGTGTTGAGCCGTGCGTCCAGGTGGGGCTGGGCAGAAAGTTCGGCGACGCGTAACTTCGTGGCGCGGAGCTCCTTGCGGACATCCATTATGGCGCGCATGAGATCCTCCAAGGTGAAGGCGGAGGACATCCATTCATGGAGTACAAAACACTCAAGAATCACAGTTCATTTCATCCAAGAAACAAAATTCTTCAACCAAATATCAAAACACTGCTTGGATGGGGTGATGGTACATGTCAACAAACTAGCATTGTAGAACCAAGATTAAAATAAAAATGACACGGCTTGGAGGGGGGGGGGGGG